TATAGGTTACTTGCGTAATCCTGGTTCTCAGAGTAGCGTGAGTGAGATGTCACTATGGGATATGCCCCCTGCATATGCTCCAGAAGCATTTATCTCTTTACGCCAATCGTGACGCCTGTGTCAGGTGGAGCCACCTGACCTTAAGTAGCCTGCGCTACCATGCAGCATCACTCAAAATAAGCACCTCTTCTCACTTCGCCCAGCAAGAAGGGCTGTCTCACTCATGCTATTCTGAGAACCGGGGTTACGCAAGTAACCTATAGTTCTAATTCCTAGCATTCGTTTCGATGTCTCACTGTGGGATATGGAAACTTCCATATTGCCAGACATGCTTATCTCATATCAACCACCAGCACTCAAGGAACGGCCCTCTACCCTAACTACTGCATGAGCCAGGCTCAGAGCAAAGACGTCCAGCTTATAAAAGAGAACAAAAGTGAGAGGTGAAGACTAGCTTGCTGCTGGCCACATCTCCTGAATCGAGACCTCTTTACACAGGGCCCAAGATGCAGTTGGCCACGTGTAGAATGAGCTCGCAGGCCTGCCGGGGCCTGTAGGCCCTGACACGTGTACGCCAGGGCAATTGCTCCCACAATCCAACAGGAGAGCCACTGCTTTGTGATGGGCCTGCCCCTGTAGGGGCTAGCCCAGGACACAAAGAGCTGGTCACTCCTCCAAAACCCCTTCGTCCTGTCCACTGATGGCTGGATGTAGTGTCCATTACCCGTAGAGTGGTGCCCCCCTGAACAGCAGGTCCGCCCCCCCGGTTCACAGCCCCCGCTGGAGGGGGAAGCGGGCTCACATCCCTCCTCATCCCTGAGGGAAGCCACATCACCCGGCATGGCAAACTGAGCGGAGGGGAAGAGGACATCGTCCTCACTCTCATCCTCCTCAGATATGAGGAGCTCCAAGGTATCCTCATTGTCATCCTCATATTCTAACTCCAGTACGTCTACCAAAAACGGAGCTGGAGCGGCTAGGTCTAGCTGGGAGCCCCAGCTGGCGCCAGCAC